TTTTTTTTTTTTTTTTTTGTACCATGAAGGAGGTCATATGCCTAAGCTAGAACTAGCCGGGAGTACGACACTCGCCTACTATCGTGCTCAAGCCAATCTCCCAGACCTGGGGGAAGGAAAGACACTCGCGCTACATTCCTATTTTAAAACGTAGTTTATGAACCAAACCTTGTGTATAAAAATGTTAATATATTCATTAAATACACCAATAAAGTTATTAGTAAAAAACTCAATTTACTACCAATGTAAAGTATTTTCTTCAAAGTTTTGAAATCTCCCAACTATCGTAACGACATATTAATTTGTTTATTTCTTAATTTGTTTATTTCTGAACACCATTCTTTGACTATTCACACTAGAACAAGGTATCCATATGTTAGATTATTGATAAATCACACGGCCAAATTATCATGAAAAACAAATTGTGCATAATTAATAAAAATAATTGGTACATAATTAGTGTAAATGCCGTTATTTTACTCAACTAAATCGAAACAAAAAAAATTCAATAAGAACGGTTTACGGCCAACATATAGATACTTAATAGATTAATTTTTTAAGATATTTTGCAAGGGTAGTGAATTTATCATTATTTTTTAAAACATTGAAACTTATTTATGTGCTAGCATTTAATAAAAAAATTTGTTACCCAAAACATGATTTATGGTTTTCGAAAGAATAAGACACGCATAACATTAATTGAAAAACAATATGTAATGCACTTCATAAACAATATAATAAGGGAAATGTTACAGTCCCCCGGACATTTCATTGGGATTTGTTACCGTTAAATCATTATCTATCCATCGTGGATAGTCTAACAATTACAAACTCCAATTCCGTAATGGGACCGTAGAATATCCGGTTTCCCAATAAGGGAGAAAAGGCAAAAATAATGTAGAAACTTACAGAATCCAAACATTTTAAAATCAAAGAAATGCTGGCAGCATAGATAGATCAGAGAACAACTCCCAAATTACCAACAAGATTACATGACAAAGGTAAATAAATATCTAGGATCATCATAACAACTCTCAACCTAATTCCACAATTCAAACAAACAAACCAAAAAAAAAAAAAAAAA